CACTTTGGGCGCGAACGGGCCAGTGCAATGACCTTCGGCGCCCCCGCCCCCCAGAGGATGTTGAAACTGGCGCCTCGCCTGCGGAAACTGCTCCGAGTGCAGAGGATGCTGGGCATGAAAGTAGGCAAACCGCGCGAGGCATCCCAACCATCTGAGCGCGAGCGGGTCCGTGCAATACGCCCTGGCACCCCCCGCTGGAAAGGCTGAAACCAGCGCCTCGCCTGAGACATCCTCGCAAATCCGAGCGCAAGTCCGTGTAAGCTGAGAGCGAGCCTGAGGCTCCTGGTGAAAGCTTTGTAATTATGGTAGTGGGTGCGCCTACCTATAAGTGAATATGAGAATGAGTCAGTCTACATGTAAGTCAAACGAAGCATGAATGAGCTGAGTATGACTAACCTTAGGTATGAAAAGTGATGCGAATGAGTCTGAGCTGGAGAAAGCCACTCGGAGTGCGAGTGGGTCTGTTGATGGGTGATCCCGAGCATGGGAGCGAGCGTATTTGAGTATGAGTGGGTCTGAAGATGAGTGGGTCTAGATGTGAGCGAGTCAGAAAATCATGACCTGAGGGTGGGAGGTTTGGTAATTGCGTTCGTTCCGCGCGATTTGAAATATTTTCCATTGCGTATAACTCCCCATGTGTGCATAGATTTGCACAGACATGTCCGCTGTGATTGTCTAGGGTCACGCGTGTTTTAATACCAGCGGGCTTGAGGTATAAACGGGTGTTCTTATGGTTGGGTGTGAGTGTCAGTTAGTCTGGGTTTGAAAGAGGCTGAGTGCGAGTGGGTCTGAGAATGAGTAAGTCAGAGTATGAGTGAGTCTGAGTGAGAGTGAGTCTGAGTGCTGGCAAGTGTGGGTGTGAGCGGGTCTGAGTAAAAGTACGATGAGTACGAGCCTGAGTCTGCATGGGTCTGAGTACGGGTGGGTCTGGCTACGGGTGACTCTGAGGGTGGGTGGGTCTGCGCGTGAGTGATGCTGAGTGTGGGTAAGTCGATTGTGAGTGAGTATGAGTACGAGTATGGTGAATATGGACATGAGCCTGAGCGGGTCTGGGTACGAGCGATTCTGATTACGAATGGGTATGAGGGTGGGTGGGTCCAAGTGTGAGTGAATATGTGTGTGTGCGTAAGTCTGAGTGTGAGTGAGTGTGATCATGAGTATGATGAGTACGAGTCTTAGTATGAATGAGTCTGGGCACGAGCAAGTTTGACCATGACTGAGTCTGAGGTATCCTCGCAGTCCGGGCCCCTGGGGGTGTTGGAACCAGTGCCTCACCCGAGACATCTTCAGAGTCTGCTCTGAACGCGGACGACTTTGGCCACCAAAGCAGGCACACCGCCCGAGACATCCTCGCAATCTGGGCACCCTGGGGTGTGAAAACCGGCGCCTCGCCAGAGAGATCCTCAACCTTTGCTCCGAAAGCAGAGGATGTTGGGGCCCAAAACAGGCGAACAGTTCGAGACGTCCCCCCAATTTGGCCGCGAACGGAGGAGTGAGATATCACCGTGGCGGCTCCATTTCTGAGCGTGCTGAAACCAGCGCTTCGCCAGAGACATCCTCAGAACTTGCTTTGAACGCAGGCGGATCTAGCCACCAAAACAGGCACACCTCCCGAGACATCCTCGCACGCAATCTGGGCCCCTTGGGGTGCGAAAACCAGCGCCTCGTCCGAGACATCCGGAAAATCTGCTCCGACAGCGGAGGATGTTGGGGACACAAAGAGGCAGGCTGGTCGAGGCATCCCCGCAATCTGAGCGCGAACGGAGGAGTGAGATACCCTTTGGCGCCCCCTTGGGGGTGCGAAAACCAGCGCCTCGCCTGAGACATCATCAGAATCTGCTCCGAAAGCGGAGGGTGTCGCGGGCACAAACTGGCAAACCGCTAGCCCTTTTCGGGTGTGCTGACACCAGCGCCTCGCCCGAGATATCCTCACAAGCTGCTCCACCGTCATCAGCATCATCAGCAGCAGCAGCATCATCAGCAGCAGCGGCATTGCATCAACATGAAAAATTGCAACAATTAGCTTGGCGAAGGACCCAACCATATGCAGTTGTGAATACCGCAAATATGAATATCGGGCGGGGGACGCATGCGAACACCCCCACTGGGGCTTCGGTGGAGCTCCCTATGTGGCCTCGAAACGCTGCTCCCTGTGGGGCCACGAAACGCTGTCCTGGGTGGAGGGGACGCATGCGAACACACCCACTTGGGCCGAGCTCCCTATGGGGTCACGAACCGTTGACCTGGGGTGGGGGGACGCATGCGAACACACCCACGGGGGCCTTCGGTGGAGCTCCCACTGGAGCCACGAAACGCTGCCCTGGGTGGGGGGGACGCATGCGAACACCTTCACGGGGGCCTTCGGTGGAGCTTCCTATGGGGCCACGAAACGTTGTCTTGGGTGGGGGGGACGCATGCGAACACCCCCACGGGGGCCTTCGGTGGAGCTCCCCATGGGGCCACGAAACGCTGTCCTGGGCGGGGGGGACGCATGCGAACACCCCCACGGGGGCCTTCGGTGGAGCTCCCTGTGGGGCCACGAAACGCTGTCCTCGGCGGGGGATGCGCATGCGAACACCCCCAATGAGGCCTTCGGTGGAGCTCCCTATGGGGCCACGAAACGCTGCCCTGGGTGGGGGGACGCATGCGAACACCCCCACGGAGGCTTCGGTGGAGCTCCCTGTGGGGCCACGAAACGCTGTCCTGGGTGAGGGGGCGCATGCGAACACCCCCACGGTGGCCTTCGGTGGAGCTCCCTATGGGGCCACGAAACGCTGTCCTGGGTGGAGGGGACGCATGCGAACACACCCACCTGGGCCTCCGGTGGAGCTTCCTATGGGGCCATGAAACGTTGACCTGGGTAGCTGGGGACGCATGCGAACACCCCCACGGGGGCCTTCGGTGGAGCTCCCCATGGAGCCACGAAACGCTGCCCTGGGTGGGGGGGGGACGCATGCGAACACCCCCACGGGGGCCTTCGGTGGAGCTCCCTATGGGGCAACGAAACGCTGCCCTGGGTGGGGGGGGAACGCATGCGAACACCGCCACTGGGGCCTTAGGTGGGGCTCCCTGTGGGGCCACGAAACGCCGTCCTGGGTGGGGAGGACGCATGGTGTGTGATGATGGTGATGATGATGGTGATGGATGGTGATGATGGTGACGCTGGTGTGGGGAGAGGGAGGGGATGATGATGGTGATGGGAGGGGAGGAGAGGGAGGAGGTGGAGAGGAGGAGGAGGAGGTGGAACGCGGGGCGCTGTCTCTTCAAAGCGAGGACCCAACACCACAGGATGGTTGGGAAAAACAATATCATAATCATCAGCATCATCAAAAATCATCATCATCATCATCATCATCATCATCATCATCATCATCATCATCATCATCATCATCATCATCATCATCATCATCATCCACATCACCATCACCATCACCATCACCATCACCATCACCATCACCATCACCATCACCATCACCATCATCATATTAGTCATGCGAATAATCAGCAACAGCATCATCATCGTCACCATCACCAACATCATCATCGGAAGTATCTACCACAAGTAACAGCATCCACTATCATCATCGTCATCAGCAGCATCATCCTCATCAGCATCATCACCACCATCAGTACCATCATCATCATCATAGCCCGGGTACTGACCCAGAGTGTGCGCTTGATTCTGAGTAATTCTGAGTGAGGAAGAGGAGGAGGTGGAGGATTTGTGAGGGCTTCCCTCTTGGCGCGGTTAAATTGATAACAAGAGCCACATCCTTTGGAGACGGGGAACATAAAGAATCCCATCCTTAGGACATGTAGAGAAATACTGCATGAAATTCGGAACCCCCGCGCGCGCATTCTCTCATCATCCTCGCCAGCACCATGGTCATCATCATCATCGCCAGCGTCATCATTACCATCGTCATCATTATCATCATCATCATCATCATCATCATCATCATCATCATCATCATCATCATCCTCATCATCCTCATCGTCATCATCGTCCCCACCGTCATCATCACCCTAGTCATGTTCATTGTCAACGTCGTTGTCGTCGCCACCGTCGTCAGCGCCACCATCCTCATCATCATCGTCATCCGCACGCCCGTATCATGGATCCGCACGAGAAGAGCCCTCGCGTCATTACGCCAGTGGAGTTTCGCCACAGTGCTGCAAGTTGGTGGGTAGGGTATGTGTTCGAGTGTTGGAGTTCACGATTGCACTGCATATGTCGCACCATAAATGAAATCCCGAGCACTCACGCATCCCATCTACTGAGCCACACAGACTGTACCACATAGCTTGCACCACCGTGCATACAGGCCAGAGTGTGCGACATGTAGATTGCACAGAAGGGCTTGAACAATATTGATTCGAACACATAGCTTGCAACGCATCGCACGCACCACATAGATGGCACCGCATGTCTTACACCTCAAGCGTGCAAGAGCTCACTGTTTGGGGCCTCCGATGGAAAACATACTCGTGCATTCCATTATCAGCGCCGCGATTCGTGCACGCGCCCGTCAATCGCGTCGGTCTTTCTCTGTGCCCTGTTTTGAGCGTTTTGTCGGACACCTGGCAAGCCAGACAAGTGCAGGCAAATGTGTTCTTGCCACGCGATGAGTACTTGACAGGGTGTGTCCGCAATGAAGTTTGGGCGAGGGCAGTTGTCTTCCGGCAGTCGTGATACGGCACGCGTGCTTCTGGATTCAGCGAAGATCGTCAGTCGAAGTCACCATAGTCTTCGTAGGTCGTTCGAGCATGCGTGCGGTGGATATGGCGGGATATTGAAATGATTGGGCAGGTTTTTGATTCCTAAGGAACAGAAGTACAGTCGTAAGTGTGCGCATGATTGCATAATAATAGTCCTTGTTGTCTGTTGGCTCTTCCTGTCGCCTTCGTTATCCTCCCTAGCAAGTTCCTTTCTCATGATATGAAGTTGCTGCGATAGCAGGGATGATGCGGAAAGGCGGCCCAGCAAAACGCATCCCGAGGCAACTATCATAAGATGGACGTTGTTGATCCAAGCCATTATTAAAATCGTCATTTTCGCCCTGCTCGTGGACGGCGCGTGGCTGGTCTACGATGCGTCCCACACTCCAGAAGGATAGCGCGCGTTGGGTTCGATGGAGCATAGGGCTTCCAGCGGAAGGGTCTCGGACAAGCGACTCTGAAAACACGTTAAGACTGCATTATTGACTATCAGGGATATGTCAGATAACACATCAGATCATCATCTCTGCAGTTGGTGAATGAAGGTGTGTGATTTGCTGCCAGTGCGACGCTTGAAAATCGGTGAGCTACGAAATGTGTGAAGCGCTTCGTGCTTTCAAAGCAAGATCTGTCAGTCTCGCGTGAAGACATCGCCAAGATGAATATGAGGTAGCTTGCGCTGGGCATCGTATGGAAGGGAGAGGAGGAGCAGGATGAGTGGGAGAAGGGGAACGTTGGAGAGCAAACATCTGAAGTAGGCTACAAGTATTCCCCTGCGGGCCCTGAACGAGCCGAAATGGGCCCGACCTTGCAACAGTGTGATCGACTGAACCCATGAATTGGCAGTCCCCCTTCCCGGCGCTCTCGCGTTATCTGCCCAACAGGCGCGACGTCGCTCACGTTTCTGCAAGTTCAGTTCAGGAAACAGTGATGGGCGTGATCAGTTTTGAACACAACGGCACCTCAGAATGCAACGCCGCCGCATTGGCTGCATTCTTTCCACTGGCTATCTTGACTTTCATCCTGAGCTTTGCGAACACCTTCGCGTACACGTGTGCATCGACGTCTAGCTGATCGTGAATAGTGGTACATAGTTGGTCTCCTCTCCTTCCTGTGGTACGAGTGAGCTGCAGGCCGCGCCGCTACCGAAGGGGAACTCCAAGACTCAGTAGGACTGCATCCATGCTTCTCGCGGAATTGTAAAGGCTTGCAGACGGTTTTTCTCACAGGGCGGTGACCTCCCTCCAGATGAAAGCCACGGGGAGGGCGCGCCCTCGGCAGACGTGCGCATGACGCCGAGGAACCTTCGAGCTACAATCAAGACGTTGAAACAAGGACCACGTTGGTGTTCAGGCGCGGATACGACGGAAGGAGGAGGAGGAGGAGGAGGAGGAGGAGGTCCTTTTCGAGCTTTCGGTCCGTTTCTGTAGATCCAGATCGGGGAACCAGGGGCTCCGCCGGGCACCTGTCGGGGCCGTGGCCAGTGACCCGATCCCGAATGCCAGGGGCGCTCCCGGGAGGGCGCCGCGGACATGCCGCTTTTTCAGGTCTGGGGCCAGGTATTGTGTGAACATTCGCTTCGGGGCGACTGGACAGCGCGGACACTTTCGACCGCGGTTGGTCCGCGGGTCGAGAGCGCACCTCTTCCGGTCGAAGCTAAGCGGGCCGCGCGAAGCTTGCGGACAGCGCGGACAATTTGGGCAGAGTTTCGAGCACAGGGGTGGGAGTCTTGGCATTGTTGCTCAATCCTCGGATGGCCAGCCATCATTCGCGCTGGCAGCATGGCGCGCGCAGCTCCGCGAGACAAGCCCTATGGCTTCTGCTTGTCGCAAAGACGACAGCTCAGAGAGAAGTTGGGCACACAGAGCTGGAGAGCACTAGGGCGTTGAAGGAAAAGGCGCTTGAAGCATTCTGTCTCCCTCTCACTCGCTCTCTCTATCTCTCCGTTTCTCTCTTTCACTCTCTCTCTCTCTCTCGGTGTGTCTCTCTCTCTCTCTCTCCGTTTCTCTCACTCTCTCTCTCTCTCTCTCGGTGTGTCTCTCTCTCTCTCTCTCCCCCTTTCCCTCTCTAGTCTCGGCCCGAGCTCCGGCAGCAACGGAGCGCGACCAGGACACGAAGCCTTCCGCGCGCTCCAGCCTGGTGAGAACCGCAACCGGGGCTTTTACCCCGGGACCGATTCGTGACGCCTTCACCTTCTTCGGGAGCGGAAAAAAGGGGGGTGATGACTAGGGGGGGGTGGATTTCATGGCGCGGGCCATGATTTTTCCTCAGATTTCATGGCGCCTCTTCTTATTTTATTACGTCCCAGGTCCCCCCGCGGGGCCGCGCAGATGCCGCCGGTCATGATTTGCACCCCCCCCCTCTTGGACACCCCCCTCTTGGCCGCTCCCGACTTCTGTGCCCCCCGCCGCAGCGGCCTGCGCCGCCGCCCCGGTGTTCGTCGCACCGGACGCGGCGACCCCGTCACGGCTGTCCCTCCCCAGCTGCGAGGCGCACAAGACACCCGAGGGAGGCAACCAGCTTACATGCGGCACGGCCACCTCCACGACAGCCACGTCCACAGATGCAGATTGCTCATCGCTGTGATTGCGCCCTCTGGGTTCCCATCCTGGATGGGCATACCCTTCCTGCCCCACCTCACGCCCCTCCCAGTCCTTGGAGCGCCCTTCAAGATCTCCGAGACGACCTACGTCGTCACCCGGGTGAACTGCACGCGCTACGTGCTCATGTTCATCCACTAGGCCGCCAAGCCGCTACAGCGGCCAGCCGGACCCCGAACATCAGCAGCAGCAAGCCGTTGCTCCTGATATTCCGCGCATTGCCGCCCTTCCACAGCACCCTCGGCTACGTCAACACGGCCGCCTTCGGCACCCACGATGGCATCGGCAAGCTCTGCGCGCTTAGCCGCGACCCCCGTGAACCTCGGCAGCCTGTTTTGCTTTGCCGGCAAAGCCTCGCTCTCCGCGGTCTTCCAAGCCCTGGGCCTCGTCTCTCGGGTTCCAAGGCTTCCCCTTGGCCGCCGCGCCACTTCGGTGGCCAGCCAGACCCTCCTGCAGGCCCTGCGATCACAGTCCAGGGCGAGCAACACACACACACACACACACACACACCCTCAGGCCGTGCGCTCACGGCCCTCAGACTGCCCTCCCGCCGTGCGCTCGCAGGCCATGGCTCGGGGTCAGCGCGCACCACCCTCACCGATACCCCACCGACCACGATCCACGCACTCAATGCGCGCGCTACCCCGGCCACAACACCGCCGTCGTCGCTCACATCCGCGCCGCAAGCCGCCGCCTGGCCACCCGGGCCCCGCCTCCCGCGGCGGACGCGGGGCACGCGCACCAAGACACGCCAAGCACCGCCCTGCGGGCCCCCCTGGGCGACCCTGTCCCCACGACCGCTGCCGACCCGAACTCCGAGGTTCAAGTAGACACGGAGGCCATTGTCCAGGGCCAGGAGTGCAGCCCAATAAACGGTTTCCGCGGCGTCGTCCGAGGCCGCTCCGGCGACGCAAGCCAACATTGGATCGCCACGCTTACCAACGGGTGCACCGCCCACTTGCTCCTCACCTGTCTGATCGTCGCCGACCCAGCGCCAAGCCCAGAGCTTCCGTCCCTCGGCACGCGCACTGCCCCCGAAGCCTCCGCCCAGGGGACCTCCCTCACCTCCTCCCCCCCGCCGTTTTCGCGCGCGCCGCGGCGGAGGAGGCGAGTCGAGGAGAGAGGAGGCGGGGACGACAATCACGACCACCACGCCAACCATGCGCCCCGCGGCCACGCCGCTGGCGCACCGATCACAGTCGCACGTCCACCCGATGGGGCCATAGGCGACTATACCTCCGAATACCAATCGGGCGTTGAGTTGAACAGCCCGCGTGCTGAACGAGAACGTTACTTGAGAACCGGCCTTTTTTGTAAATCACGTTGGACACGTTTGGCACCAACTCGTGACCACTCTCAGTGCCATCGACGTCCGAGTTTCGAAAGACCTTCGCACTACCACACATTACGTCGTCCACACGCGTGCCAACTGCTCCGCATGCCTCTTGCGGACCCCGCCCAGGGCGTGGCCAGGGAGGCGGCGCTCGCATGCCCGCCTGATCAGGCTCCCTGGGAGCGGCGCCGCTGAGCGCAGCGCAGGCACCGCGCCCCCGTGCCCTCCCCTCACCTCCTCCCTCACCCCCCCCCGGGCGGTCCTCCGACCCCAGTCGGCGGCAGAGGAAGAGGAGGAGGAGGCAGGAGCAGAAGGACATCGACGACGACGACGGCGACAGGTGGACGCGCAGCTCCCAGACGGTCTCGGCCGACCCCGTCGCCGCTGGACCGACCCCAAAGCGCCGCCGTCCGCCGTCACTGGGCCACCAGCACCCCCGAGGCCACGGGTAGCCAGCGACAGCCCTACCGAACCTCGTCCAGCTTTCGCGCTTGCCTCTCCTGCGCGCTGGCCACGTACTTGGTTCACTCCCTGTCTTACCACGCCCTCCAGCTTGACTTGCGTCTCCGTCGGCCAGGAGGGGTCACCCTCCGCCAGGCCGACCTGCACATGACAGCCCATCCATGCATCGAGCTCCGATCACACGGTCTGCGGCTCCCCACTCGCAGTACGCGCCTGACTATCGCCTACAGCTCGTTCGCCCTCACTTTCTGCCTGGACGAGGCCCTCGGCCTCCCACACGGCGAGGTGACAGCCCTGGTCAAGCGTGCCTTCACCAAGCGTCTTCTCACCGACTTTCACTTCCTCATACGGGTCGTAACCTGGTCGGGCGCTTTCGAAGCACGACAGGGCTACGCCATTGATCTTGACGTTTTCTGACGGCCCCGCGGCATTGGGCGCGCCGCTTCCTTGCCTCACAAGGGCGCTGTCCCCCCCTGTGTGAGCCGCGCCCGCAGCTGGTGTGGTGCCGTCGCCTGGCGCACTCCCGTTGCGGCCACGCTTCTGCTACTGTTTCGTCACGGCAGGGGCGCCGCTCGTTGGCGCATCCGTTTCTTCCACGTCTCTGACGGCCCCGCTGCATCGGGCGCGCCGCTTGCTTGCCTCACCAGGGCACTACCCTCCTGCGTGAGCCTCGCCCACAGCTGTAGCGGTGCTGACGCCTGTCGCACCCTCCGCTGATGAGGCCGCGCTGCAGCTGCTGCAGCTTTACAACGGGGGTGCCGCTCACAGGCGCACTCTAACGCTGACAGCTACCAACACGCATCGCCATGAGTGTTTCACTGCGCTCTCTTGTACATTAGTCGTCTGACGGTGCGCCCTGAACCGTCCACTGTAAAGTCGGAGGTTGGGGGTGAGATCGCAGTGGAACGGGGACCTGCAACCGGGAAATCGTTTCGTTTCGTTCGTGTCGTGCGTGCGGGCGAGGCGAAGCTGCATGGGCGCGCGAGAGGACTGAACCCGCCCGTCCGGCGGTGGCCCGCGGTGTCCCGTGGTGTCCCGTTGAATGAGATCGATAGTGAGACTGATAGTTAGATCGATAGTGAGATTGATGTGGTGTCCCGTGGTGTCCTAGGGTATCCCGTTGAGTGAGATCGATAGTGAAGCCGATACTGAGATCGAGAGGTGTCCCGCGGTGTCCCGTGGTGTCCCGTGGTGGCCCGTGGCGTCCCGTGGTGTCCCGTTGAGTGAGACCAATAGTGAGATCGATAGTGAGATCGACAAGTGTCCCGTAGTGTCCCGTGGTGTCCCATGGTGTCCCGTGGTGTCCCGTTGAGAGAGATCGATAGTGAGATCGATTGAGTCAGATGTTGGTTCCCCCACCCCTCGCCCCCCCCCACCACCACACAACCTCCTTCTCACCCGAAGGGTGGTCGTATAGGTATGTCATTTTGCGCTGCATGTCCTTCTTTGTGCCATGCATGCGGGCCTCCACCACGGCCGTAGGCCCCACTTCTTGCTAGCCCGATTGCCCGCGCGGCCACGCGTCTTCGGGGCCTGGCTACGGCGGCGGGGGATGCTCCGTCGTTCGCAAGCCGCTCAGCGGTCAAGTCCTATTCCCCCAGCCGCCAACCAGGGCTTCGCCGACCTGGGCCCTTTTTCCCACGCGGGGGGCAGAAAAATGTGGCGTATCGCCTGCTCAC